TCTTTTCCACTTTTGTTGATTTATAAAATTCTATAGTTCATTATTTTCATTATTCTTTTCGTTATTTTTTCGGTTATAGTAATCATGGTGACAAATTTATTAACGCTAAATTAAATTAAATTTTATACTTACAAACTATATAGCAAATTATAATATAATTAAAATAATATTAATTTATATAAATTATTTAAATAAATAACTAGTAAATTATAAAAAAATAATTTATGCTTACAATCTAATAATAATTATTAAAATAAAAAGCTAATTATATAATAAAAAAACGCATTAAGTATTATGCTAAATATAGTTCATACTTACACACTATTAATTTATATGATTAAAATTTTAAAATATTTTTAAATAATTGATAAAAATAATAAACAATATAATTTGATATAATAGATAATATTTATACTTACATGCTATTAATTTTTTTATAAAATTTAAATATTTATTAATTATTATAATAACTTATAAAGTATAAAAAAATTACTATACTTACAAACCCCTAATTAATTTATTAATATAAAATTATTTTGATAACATAAATTTATATAAATTGTTAGTTAAAAATAAATCTGTTTACCAAAAATTAATTACTTAATTTAGTTGGTTAACTAAATATAGTAGCTAATTAAATAATTCTTAGTATTATTAGTAATAATTATTATTGTAAAATAATTAAAATTAATAAGATATATACAATTTTAAAAATTTAAATGCGTAAAATATTATATTTTACCGTATAATAATTACTACTAATAAAAAATAGTCTTTTAATAAAATTTATTTAAAAAGAAATTTATACATACATTCTATAATTTGATTTATAAAATTTAATATTTAATACTTTTATTTATATATAAATTATCTATGTACTTACATTCTATTAATTGAAATACGTAATATATTTAATTAATTAATAATAAAATAAATATAAATAATATAATTAAATTTGTATTTACCCGCTAATAAATTAATATAAATTTAAGTTAAACTATTATCAATATGTCTTAAATTCTAATTACAAATTAATACTTACGCGCTAATGTTTTTAGTATATTTAGATAACAAAATTTTCAATTAGTATTTTTAAAATCAATATTTTAAAGAATATAAATTATACTAAATCACATTAGATATTTTTCGATTATATTCATACTATAGATTATAATTTTATAATTCGGAATCTGTTATTCTAATTCGAAAGCCTTAAAATTTTTAAAATACCTGACCCGAGAATTAGTATGTCAGTTTAATCCAATGTGCTCATTTCATACGTAGATAGTCACTTTATAGACAGACAATCAATTTATAGACAAGCTTATTTTATAGAAAATTATTTTACCGACAGTTCATTTCACTTACAATATAATTCTATTAAGATAAGGATTAAGTTTAAGGTTAGAACAAAGCTTGTAGCATATGTAAGAAAGGAGCCTATTGGTGAAATGAGCTTTTGGTTAATAAACTATCTATAAAGTGAAATTCGTGAGAATTGATTGTCTGCAAAATAAACTTGTCCGTAAATCAATTGTCTGTATATTACGGTGTCTATGAAATGATTGTTGATGAAATGATACAGATCGATATATACACTCTAAGAGAATTCTAAAGTAAGATAACTAGATTCTGAATTGAGAACTTCTGATATATTTGTGCATTTTAAACAATCTATTATTTAATTCAAACTATACTATTGTGATTTAGTATATAAATTAATGCAATTTAGAAAATTGTGCTTACCCTCTGTGAATTTATTTGTAATAATATTAACATAATCATAGTTAAGCTTATTAATAATTAAAGCAGTTAAAATATATATCACCGGAGGTATATTCCACCTGTTTTATAAATTAAGATTTATAGAAATTTTTCCTGCAAAACATAATCCGAAACTAGCATTAAAGAGTAAAGTATTGAAATTTTTTACTTTTACGCCAAACACAAAATTTATAAACAGGTTTCGAAAATAGCATATCTGTGAATTTCACCTCCGGTGATTATTTAAATCATTTTAAATTATACTTACACACTAGTAATTTAACAAATCATTGATTATTTACTATTATGTAAAAATTTATCCAATAGTATATATCTTGATACTTACTATCTATTATTTAAAGCAATATTAATAAAAA